GGAGTGTGTCTACAGCAGGTTTGTGTCTGTCCCGATTTGCACGAGGGGAGTGTGTCTACAGCACGTTTGTGTCTGTCCCGATTTGCACGAGGGGAGTGTGTCTACACAAGGCACACATCAATGGAGTTACACTCAGCACACTTCCTGTGGCTTGCCAAGCCCTGAGAAGGCACCACCTTTGCAATGGCTGGTTCCCAGGACTTTCCCCTAGGCCAGGGCAGCCGGCCAGGGCTCAGAATGGGGAACCGTAAGCCAGGGCACACAAAACGGGGTCCTGACTCAAATTCCAGCAGACAGGGACCCCAGGGCTCCAAGGAGGGGCGGGGTCCGGCAGCTGGGAGACGGGGTTCAGTTTCTGCAGGGTTCCTGGCTCAGGAAAAGCCATCCGTTTCAGGGGGGACTTCCCCGGAGCCAGGGCTACAGGAGCAGGCCCCACCTTGAACGTCAGAGAAGATGGTGAGTAGCACGGGACAGGAACCAGAGAAGTCCGGACGAGTTAACCTAGGAGCCCCTCTGTGGAGGGGCCAGAGCTCATGTTCTGTAGAGCAATTAATCCATGCCCTTCCCCCCACCCCCCCGTAGTGAGCACAAATGCCACAGCCACCCCAGTGCCCGGCAGGGCTGCCCAGGTAACAGACAGCGGCGCGCGGGGCTGCTACGTACGTTGTTGAGGTGTTTCCACTCCTCAGCCCACTCCCTGTCTGTTAGTCTGTGGTCGATCACTTCCTCCTGGCGGGAGCCGTGCACGGCTGGAAGAGAACACGCAGGTCAGCGAGAGCCAGTCACCCTGGCCCAGAGCTCTGGGCACCCCAGGGGCTCCAGTTACGGCTGTGTTTTATGATCTGTGTTAGGACAGCACCTCGGGGCCGTGCTCCGGGATTAGGGCCCCTTATGCTGGGCACTGTACAGAGCAAAGAGATGAGAGCAGTGCTGGCGGGCAAGGGGTGTGCCTGGCCCACGCAGCATGCTGGGAGGTGTCGTGCAGGGCCTGGGGCTGGAGCACGCTGCTCTGTCTTGGGCTGCACCCGCTCAAAGAGCTCGACACGGGCCGGCAGTGGAGTCATGCCCCACGGCAGGAGAGGCCATCAGGGAAAAAGAGAGAGAGAGAGAGAGAGACGTTCGAAAATCAGTGCAGTCTCTATAGCCTCCATACAGCCCCCACTTGGGCCAGCTCTGGAACACAGGGCACTGTCTGAGCAGCCCGGACAGGCTAACTAACAGGGAGACGCTTCGCCTTCCCTTTGCTAACCGGGGAATTGGGCTTTGGGCTGCTGCCAGGGCTGCCCATGTGCCAGGAACGGGGTCGCCCTCCCAGCAGCCCTGGGTCAGCACCTACACCTCTGCACTGCTGCTGACGGGGGCAGCGCTCTCCTGCCAATCACTCATGGACGACCCTCTTTACGGGCCCTTCCCTGCAGGAGACCCTGCAATAACAGCTGCCCACCCCGGTCCCCGGTCCCCTTTCCAACAACTTATCTTCTCAGCGGCGGGAAGGGGGCATTGTGCAGGACCACCAAGAACTCAGCCTTCCTAGGACACCCGGCAGCCCCAGAATGGGTTTTCCCAGGGAGTCAGGGACTGAAATGCTGAGTGATTTGTGTAACCACTGCGCACTAACCCGGACTCTGACCAAGCTCCGCTTCTGTCCACACACCACTCAGTCTGACTCGGGTCACAAGCACTCAGGACCTGGGTCCTAGGACCCTGCTAGGGGGTGGGTCAGAGCCCGAGTCCCACTGGGACTGGGGTCGAAGCCTGGGCACTGTGCAGTGTGGCTGCAGGGCAAGCCAGAGACTCGAGTCAGAAGGGCTGTGCAGCGCAGTAGGGACACCTCGGATACAAAGCAGTGTGCACGCTCGAATGCGGGCCCTCGAGCCTGAGTCCCCCAGACCTGGGTTTACAATGCGTGTAGATAAGCCCTCAGCAGCTCTGCCTCTCCTCCTGAAAGATGCCTCCCGCCTTGGCTTGGTACTGCTGTGACTCCAGCTATTTCTGAGTAGCATGCCCGGGATCCGGAGCGCTGCCCTTCCTCCGGGAGAGCCAGCCCCTGCTCTGCTCTCTCTAGCTACCCAGGGGCAACTCCTCTCCACGGTGTCCTTACAGCACCCGCCACAACAGAGCTCGCTTCCCTCCGCAGAGCTGGGGCCGAATCCGTCACCCGGTGTAACTCCACTGCCTGCAGTGGGTTGGGCCCTCTGTCTCCACCCTGCCCCAACTGCCAGCCTCCCCCCGGCTCACCTCACCCGTCCCTTCGTTACGCTCTCAAGCCACCCAGAGCCATGGAGGCTCCCTCCCTTGGCCCGTGCTTTGTGGTGGCCAGTCCCCACCGGACTGCGCACGCTCCAGGGAGGCAGCCTGCCCCCCGGTGAATTCCCAGGCACCTCCCCTCGGGCAGGCAGTCTAGGGTGCCCCTTCCCTAGACTGCACGGAGCAGTCTGGCCCCTGCAGCAGTGGAGGGGAAGGGATGCTCTCCGGGTCGTCTCTCAGGGAGGTCAATCCCCCCGAATGCCCACTCCGCCTCCCACTCACCCACTTGCCGGTGGCGCTCCCGGAGCTCCCTGGGGTCGGGGTGCCGGTACGTGTCCCGGTAGTGGTGCGCCATGGCCATGTCCTCCAGGCGGTAGTGCGGGGGTGGTGGCGGGGTGGGGTGGGGCAGCCCATTGGGCTGGTGGCTTAGCCCGTTGCTGGGGCTGTACCGCTGAGCGGGGCTCATGGTGCACGGCCGTTTGCTGAGGTGTTCGGGGTGCAGAGGGTCTCGGTCCGAGCCGTTCTCTTTGGTCCTGCTCCAGAGGAGAAAAAGGGCGACCTGGTTACAACACTGGGAAAGGGCTTCCTGACCCTCGGCTCCTTTGCAAAGGGCTTTGAGCCCCAGCCGCTGAGCCCAACTCTGACACTGACTCCCACGGGGGCCTTGGGCAAGTCACTGCCCTTCCGTGCCTCAGTTTCCCCCTCTGCCAAATGAGGGAGGATGATCCTGACCTACAGAACCTGAGGGTAAGTGTCTCCAGAAATGCAACTAGCTACCAACATATCCAGTCCAACCTGGAGCCCGCATCATTGCGTCCTGGGTGCAGTGAGTGATTCCTCCGAGCAGGGGGAGTGCTGAACTCAGTCTGAACTAGACAGCTGTGGGCCAGATTCGTCTCTGGCTCCTGCCTGCTCATGCACTGGCCCCCTGCAGGGCAGTCTGCTGGGTGACGGGGCACATGGCCAGGGAGGTAGGGGGCTGTATGGCTACACAGCACACTAACCCGGGCTCTGACTCAGGTTTGAGCCGCAGTCCTTCTTCTGTCCACACACCAATCAGTCTGACTCGGGTCACAAGCACTCAGGACCCGGGTCCTCAGACCCTGCTGTGGGGAGTCTCATTGTGACTCGGGGCCAAGCCCCGTCGCTGTGCAGTGTGGACACAGCTCAAGCCGCGGACCTGAGACAGAAAGGCTGTGCAGCGCAGTGTAGATATGCTAGCACGGCTGCGAGACCCCGGTCCAGCACCTGTAAGCCCCAGTTTACCATGCAGTGTGGACGCTCAAGCCCTGGCTTAGAAACCCAGAGACCCTCAGGCCCAGGTTCCATAGACCCAGGTTAACAATGCAGCGCAGACATGCTGTTGGGTGGCACTGGTCACAAAGAGGTGTGTGGCCAGGACGGCTGGAGGTGCTGATTCCTGCCCAGACAGCTCGCCTGGTGCCTGGGTAGAGATGCAAGCTGCCCACCTTTCTGGGAAGCCCCAAGGAGGCGGATGGTGGGAACTTCAGCTGCCCCCTACTGGAGTGAACCTCCCCTCTGGTGCAGGGGGCTTAGTCCTGACGTACCCCCAGATCCCAGGAGCCCCGAGGGCTGCACACGGTGGGGAAATGCTCCAGGCCATGTGACATTCCCCATTCACAGCGATCAGGAATGGGCGCAGCTCCACACCCCACAGTGCCTGGAGTCTGGCTGTGAGTGGCCCAACGTGCCTGCCATGCTCTCTGGAGCAGGGTCTCGCGAGCCTGGGCCCTTGAGCTTGGGCAGGGGAAAGGCTGGCGGAGAGTACTCAGGAGATTGCCCTGCCCCAAGCCCCACCCCTAAAAGGTGGGGAGCTGGGAACGGCTTTATCCTCTCCTCCTTGCTGGGTCGTGCCCACTCGCCGCGGGCCCCGTGCTCACCGCATGACACTAGCCCCGGGAGCTGGGTGGGGCTCCTGGAAAGCAAGCGCGAGCCTCCGGGTCCTACCTGTCTGGTGTCCTCCTCTTGCCAGTCTCGGTGACCTCCAGGAGCAGCTCAGAGGAGTCGATGGGGGAAGAGGCGTTGGCATCGAGCAGCAGCTGTTCGTGCTGGGCCAGGTACTGGGCTGGGGTCTGCTTGGCCATGCGGGCGCAGTGGAGCAGCTCGCGCTGCAGCAAGGGCAGGTTGGCCTGCAAGTGGGGCAGAGACAGAGTAAAGCCCCCGCCAGCCCCAGCACTCCCCCCACCACCCACTTTTGCACAGACAAGCTGTCCCAGGCTGGGCTCCATTGCCTTGCAGGGGTGGGCCACGAGGGGGCTCCTTACTCTGCGTCCCTCGCAGACCGGGAAGGGCCAAGATAAACGGCAGAGGATGCCGGCCTGACAGGGAGGGAGGAGCTTCCTCACCCGCTGCTGGCTCTGCCAGAGCAGCCCCCAATGCAAGGATCCCATCTGCCTTGTCTGACCACACGGCCAAGAATTCGCCGCCCTTGGCCAAACCGCCCGTGTGGGTCAGTGCCCGGGTCTCGGGTCTCCGTGCAGCAGCGCTTCCCCGTCCCCAGGCATTGCTGGGGAAAGCAGGGGTGTAGCACACCCTTCCCCCGAACCAGCATAATGAGGTTCCCTCCCTCGAACCCCCAGTATCGGCCGGCTCAGCCTGAGCCTTGGCCGTGTTAGACACGACACGAGGATTCTCCTACACTTCTGGCCAGGAGACGTGGGAGTTACCCCATAACGACCAGCTGCAGGGTTTGTGGCACCTTCCCCGGAAGCAAGGTACAGGACACTGGAGTAGATGGATAATTGGACTGATCTAGAATGGGAATTGCTATGTTTGGGCAAACCTCCCCCGGTAACAGCAACAGACAATTGCTAGCACCTGGCCAGAATCCCAGCTGTATGGATTCAACCAAGCACCCGGCTAAGGTCTCCCTCCGTGCCTTCAGCCCCTCCTTTTAGCCATCAGAGTCAGGGGCTGGGAGCTCACCGGGCTTTGGAAGTCCCAAAGTTTCTGTAACCAGCAGGCATCACTGCCGTTTGCTCCCATCCCATGGGCTCCTGAGGGGGGCTGCGGTTTGAGCTCCTCTGTAGATCATTTTGAGGCCAGGGCTGCTAGCCTTACTCGCCCTGAGGAGCGCCTTACTCAGTAAGTAGCTCCACTGATTGCACTGTTGCTGCTAATTCGAATGAAGGGTGACAGAATCAGGCCCATATATACCCTGGCTAGGGAATGGGCTTCCCCCGTCCCCCGACCCGGAGACGGATTCTAAGCCACGTAAAGCACTTGGGGCCAGATCCAACCCCAGCCAAGGGGATGGAAAGGCCCCTGTTGGATTTCAATGGGGGGGGGGGGGTTGGATCTGGCCCACAGATGCCACAGGGATGGGCACCAGACAACCCCCGGGGATAAGACGAACACAGATCACAAAAGCCCAGGGCTTCTCCTGCCTATCAGCACATGTGGTTTACACAGGCTGCGTCCGCTCCTCCAATACCGCGGCCACTCGTGGTGCCACGTTTACTTTCCCTTAGCCAGCGCTTGGGAGCGGCTTTGGGGGTGTTCCTAGCCATGCCGCCACCCAGGCGAGAGCCCCCCCCAGGGCAGACCAGGAGAGCCCCACCTGTCCCTGGGTGGGGCCATGGCCAGCTCGGACACCAAGAGTCGCTCGCCTCTCCAATGTGTGCATTTGCAGGGGAGGAAGGACTTGTAAATAAACTCCCCCACCCACGGAGTTTCTCAGGGAGCTTCCACCCCGAGAAGAGCATCCAAAGCAGAAATGATTAAGCAGCAGAAACACATTTTTATCCAAGCGCTTTTGCTGCCAGCCCCGGTTTTCGATTTAGGCAGCTGATCCTCAGCCAAATCGCCATCTGTTGAACATGTTCGAGTTGAGCTGAGAAAATGTGCTGCTGGAGATTTGAGGGCAGCATGCCCCTCCCCCCCCCCTAGTTCCCCCTCTCCCCAGTTAAATAAATAATTTTTTAAAAACCGGAGTCTGGGAAACATACTGGGGCTGGCTGGTTGCAGTTAGCGTAATGAGAAGCAGCTGGCGTCCTAGGTGGAAACAGCTGGGAGCAGGGTGCCAGGGGATCAGACAGCACAGGGAGTGTTGTCAAATGGCTCCTCTGGCCAGAGAACCGCTGAGCCTCACTCGGGAACTGCAGCCAGGAGCCGGATTTTCAGAGCGCCCCAGGACCTGAGGTCTGGGAGCACCAGGCACAGAGGTGCCACGGAAGCCAAGCTTCTCCAGGGCACCGTCACATCGGCCTCTGCCCAAGGATCTGGAGCCAAGCCTTCCCGGCAGGGAGCACTGGCCCTCTCTGATGGGCATGGAGCTTGGAGGACAGGGCAGCATCTCCCGGAGCGGGGCAAGGAGACGTACCCTCACCCTCCAGGCTGCGGCGCTCGGTCTCCTCTAGCTTTGGACAGCAGAGGAAGAAGCATCAGAAACTGCAGGTCCTGCCCAGTGCCCAAGACATGGATCCCCCAGCTGGCCCCCTGTGCCCGCCTTCCTCAGCGGTTAGGCAAGTGGGTACGACTGCCCGACCAACGGCACTGCAGGCAGCGGAGAGACTAGGTCCACTTGGAGCTCTGCCCCGAGAGCCAGGCCAGCAGCAATGTCCCTGATCCCCTCTCCTCCCCAGGGCCGCACTGACCGCAGCTGCCTGAGGGGCTGCTGTGCCGGGCCCAGGCCCTGAATGGAAAGGGGCATTGGGGGGATCAGGGGAAAACACAATACAGACTCACAGAGCCAACTCCTTGCCCCACGGTAATAAATCCCTCGCCATCTACAGCACTTTCCATAGACCACCAAACTCAACCGCACAGCAACCCTAGGAGGGACAGCTTATTATTACCGCCCTTTCACCAGTGGGGAAACTGAGGCACGGAGCAGTTACGTGACCTACCCAGGGCCATAGGAGGCAGTGTCAGAGCCCATAACTCAAAGCCTGATTTTCAGAGGTGCTGTGCACCCACAGTTCCCATTGGCATCAGTCCGACTTGCGAGAGCCCAGTACTTCTGCACGTCAGGCCCTTTTTTTGCCTCCCTGTGCCTCGGTTTCCCCATCCACATAGCAGGGAGAATAGCACCTATCTCCTGGGGGCATTGTGGGGCTTGGATTAATAAAGCCCACTCCTGCAGCCATAGAACAAAGAGCAACAGGATCAGGTCCTTCATGCTTGAGATTTTCAAACCAGTCCAGGTGACTGGCCACGTAGCTTTCATTCATGTCAATGGAACCTGGGTGTCTAAACCTCCTAGGCTGCTTTGAAAATCTCAGCCTATGTCTCTAAAGAGCTTTGAGATCCTCCGGCAGAAGCTCTGATTTTATACTCAGTTTCCCCCCGGACAGAAGGACGGGAGCAGGCGAGCCCACCCTGCCTGACGCGGCTGTGTGTGGGGCCAGCGCCGAATCGCCCCAGAGCACTCTTAAATGTTGAAACCCTTTGCCGTTTGATAGGAGTGGAATACACCGGCTCCGAGAGTGCTGGAGGCTGCTCTGGCCAGATTCCTGCGGCTAGTTCAGAGCCATCGGGATAGAACCCTTGGGGCCGGGGCGGGGGAGATAATAAAGATGCAAGGGGGGGGACTTCCCACCCCCCCCTCCGATTCCTCTGATAAACAAGGGCAGCTGAAGCCAGCCCCGGAGCATCGGCTGTACATATTTGGTTTGAGAGACATGCCAGGGCGCTGAGAATCCCTCCAGAGCGGGGCGACAGAGCAGGCTCAGGGCGGAATTAAAAGGCAAATATAAAAGGGAGATTTTTAATGAATTGCACGTGGTGAGCAGCTGGGCCTAGCCCTGCTTTTTGCTGCACACAGCTCGGCATGTGGGCGAGAGCGGGAGTGCACCTGTACTGAAGAGCTGCGGGACGTCCTGGGGGCTGGGGAGGGGGCAGCACAGGTTACCCCCTCCCCACCCCCACATTTCCCAAACCAACAGACTCAGCTGCGAAGCTGGAACTGCTGAGACCGGAGAGTGAGAGCCCGGGAAAGAGAGAGGGGTCGGGCAACAACTGAGTTAAAGCTCAGCGAGCCCCCCTTGCAGCTCCTGCTCCGGTCCAGGGCCTCCTTCCTCACCTGGGGACGTCGCCGGCTCCCACCAGGCAGCAGCCCAGTCCCAGGAGCTGCCCTTTAGGTTAGGCAAAGCAAACTGGTTTCCGTTTGTAACTGTCTTGCCCTTTGAAATGCACTCGAGAATGGCATCAGTGCGTCTGTCATCCCTTTGCATCCCAGGCTAGTAATCCTGTGTAACCCACCCCGCCCCCAGCGTTCACTTTCTGTTTATTTAAAACGGGGCAGAGCTGGGTTTCTGTCACAACGTGGCTGGCCTGGGGGGCGGGGGGCGGGGGAGGAAGGGCATAGCTCTCCAGCTGGGACTGATCAGCTGCCTCCCAGCTGAGGCTGTGATGGGGCCATGGGTCCGGGGATAGCAGGAGCTCAGGTTCTGGGCAGAGTGGGTAGGGTAGGCTCTGCAGGGGAAAGAACCCAGTTTGCATGTGACACTCAGCGTGTGGCCTGGGAACAGACAAGGGAGCAGACTGGGAGTAGATAGGCCCCTGCAGGAGATCCCGAATCGGGGAAGGGACACGACTGACGTGCTGAATTTGTGTTATTTGGGAAAAGAACCCGAAGAAAAGGGGCCTGGAATCCCGTGGCTGGAGAGCGCTCTTTGGTGCACGGACCCCGGGCTTACAGCGCCCCACAAAGCTTACTAGGCAGAGACAGGGCTTCCCGTTGGTTTGAAACGTTCCATGGAAGTCAAGACGCCCCCTCTGCGGCACTGGGAAGCCAAACACAAGCACCTCGGCTAGTGCAGAGACAAGGGCTTGCTGAGTTCCCCGGTCCAAAGCTGGGGGCAGCGGGAGAAGGGAATGTGCCACCCCAATGGGGAGGAGGGAGTGAGTCCTTCAAAGCATGTTCCTGTGCGTGTGAGCGGAGGGGGTGAGCCCGAGGAACACGGGGAAGGGGGTTCCTGGCTTCCTAAAATTACAACATTCAGGCAACCAACCCAGCACGACCCCCCCACTCCCGCCCAACTCTCCTGGGCTCCACCCCAGAGCTCCCCAGCTCCATGGGATCTGTCCCCATCTGACTCAGGTATTTGCATGTTCCTTGACAGAGCCGATAAATTCTTCCCATAGCCCAGGCGTCTGATAAGCGAGCCACCCACAGCAACCACAGCAAGTCAAAGGGTGCCTGATGCCGCAGAGCTCCCCCATAGGGTGTCATCGGGGGCTGGTGGGGCCACGGCCCTGGGCTAGACAGGACTGGGCGGCATAAGGGACCTACCTTCAAGAAGGGGATGACGAAGGGGCGCAGCGGGAAGTTAGTCGCCTCCTGGAGCTTGGAGTGGAACTCTTCGATGGTCAGCGTGGAGTTCTGCGAGGCAGAGAGAGGGTCAGGCTCCGAGAGGAGTCACCAGCCCGTTCACACGGCCAGCCATTCGCCGCACTGACCCCGCTTCTCCCTCCCACCAGCCTGGGGGCAGAGCTGGGCATTTCCACTGGGCTCTAGAATTCCCATGGCTACCGCCACAGGCCCTGGGCTACTAGCCACACGGAGCTGGGCTGGGGAGGGGCAGGTCAGTTCATTTGGACAATTCCCTCTTCACCTCTGCATTTCGGTGCAGGGCTTGAGGCCACAATGGGCAATTTGTACCCGGTGACAAATGCAGGAGAAATTCCCAGTTTTGCTGGGGGGAGAGAGGGGGAGAAGTTTGCTTCTGGGAAAACGGCAAATTTTTTCCGCAGAGCAAATTCAGGAACACCAGCAAAAATCTCTGCGGAGTTGGCCTCACAGCTCTGGGAGGGAAAAGCCTGGCTCGGTTACAGCTACGTCCGTCTCTCCGATGGGGCATGCCGGACAAACACGCCCCACAGAACGTACCACAAGCCCCAGCACCAGCGTGCGCACCCGCTCCCCGATCTCCGGGGAGATGTCGTTCCCAAACTGCTGCAGGGTGGTCAAGAAGCGCTTGAGTTTGCTGAGCTGCCGGGCGCCGCAGGCGGGAGGGAGCTGATGGGTGGACAGGGAGGCAGTGGAGGAGGTGGCAGGCCCGTTGCTGAACCCGTTGGGGGTGGAAGGAGCTCCATTGATAGCGGTAGGGGAGTGGCTGCTTCCATTCATTACTGCAATGAGAGAGACAGAGAGACGGTCACTGGAGAAGACACTGGCTTTCAAGACCAGTGGCTGGCCTCTGGCAGAACGCTGTAATGGGCTTCTAGCAAGTAGCGCTGTCCCCCACTGGAGAGAATCAGAACGACTCTACTATGTGCCATAGGCTCTAGACAGCCAGAAGCTAATGGGGATTTTCCTTTACCAAAGTGGGCTTTTTGGAGCAGGAGGCTGAGTTCTCAGTGTGCGGATGGTGATCTGCAGAGAGGATGCCATGCGCAGGTCCTGTGCAGGGAAGGGAGGTGGGAAGACGTGTCAGCGAGGGGAGGGCAGGCAGCACGGGGCGTGGGGGTGTCAGCACCAGGGGGCAGGGAAGATATGTCAGTGTTTGGTGGCTACATGGGGAGTCCGGCTGTCTCACAACGGCATGTTGCAAACAGAAGGGAACGTGAACGGCAATATCCGGCCACGGCAGCTTCCAATCGACAGCCAAGCAGCAGGGCGATCAGCCACGGCCCCCGCGGGTAAATGAATGTGCCGTGAAGCGGCCGTGTGCTCATCAGGCCCAATAAATCAATAACTCGCCCTGCTCCCGGAAAGACCTGGCTCAGCCAGTCATTTAACAGCGACACAAACACAACGCGCGAGGACAGCAGAGCCTGTCTGGAAATCCTGCCCCTCGCTGCACAGGGGGCTCTGTGTATCAGCACGTGGCCTCTGCTGGACCAGAGCATGGACCGGAAGGAACAACTCGCCTTCTCCAGCCCCACGGAGAATCCGCAGGACAGCCAACGAGGGCTCCAGCCCGGGCTGTCACCACGGGGATGGGGAGCACTTTGCATCAGCCTCGGCAAATACAACCTGACAGCGGAGCGAGGGCCTGAGGCTGCTCGACTGGCTGGGATGTTTGCAGGTGGTGATGTCTAGGGCTCGCTCCTGCACGTGCCAAGCGCTTCCAAGGGCTGCTCATGCAGGGCCAAGCCCCAGGAGCCAACTGCCAAGGTGTTCAGCAGCCCGGGGGGCAGGATGGGCGCAGAGCTCTTTGGAAAATCCAGCCCTAACTCACCTCAGCCATACATGCGGCTATCTGCAACCACAGAATGAAAGGCCCTGACATCTGCTTTCTAACCCTGCAGAACAATCGGTTGCATTAAAGCTGTGCCTGCAGCGTTTGAACCCGCAGCAGTGGATCCTCGGCACTTACAGGCCGTGCATTTCCTAGCGTGTGCAGAGATCAACCCCCTAGGAAAGGTGCCTTCATGCCAATCGCTGCTGAGCAATCGCCCTCTCCTGTCCACAGAAAGTAGAGAGGGGATTGTGCTGCTAGGTCCCGCCTACCCCACCCGGCATCAGCCAGGGCAAGATTGCGCCAAGCCCTGGGCACTTCTGCCCGTTGTCCAGCGCAGCTTGAAATCACAGAACCAGCACAATTGCTGGGTAATTACACTCCGGGGGAATCCACTCCCTGGATAGCCCATCAGTTACAGGCTTTTCACCAGTCTCCCCCCTCTGCCTAGTCCCCACGTCTCCCCGGAGCAGGAACCGCAGCAGCTAGAAGCGCAACCCAGGAAACAGAGTCGCTCGGAAAAGCAGAGGGATTCCTGTTCACAGGCTCCGTGACACAGTGCATGTCTCCCCCCCGCCCCCCGGTGCAAATCACATCCATGAAATCAGGGCGCCGAGTCCCCCTGAACATAGCTCTGCTGGGAACACAAACCCCAAAGGGCCCCACGATTCGCCCTGAGAAAATACAGCCGCTGAATAGCCCCGTGGCTCTCAAAATCCCCCCTTCCTGCGTTCACTACTAACCTGCCCCGCTGTGGTTATGCTTCTTGGAAACCAGCAGCCCTGACTCTGGTGTTTTCTCAGGCTCCCTCTCGCTCTACTACGAAGCAATATCAGCCGCTTGCTAAAGAGATGCCGAAAATAACCCCCTGGCCACAACTGCTTTTATTCCAGTGACAGGTGTGTTACTAAGTTAAACTCCGCACATGGCCCCGACGGAAGGTTTGTGGACGCAGCCTGCACCCTCGTAGCCAGCTCTGCTAACGGGGGAGCGAGCGGGTTGGGAAAAAGTCCCGTTCGGACTGAGACGGTAAAAAACGAACAGCGGCAGCCTCCTTGAAAGCACCCTCCCTGCACGCTCTCATGTGCTCACACCCACAAGCGCTGGTGGTGAATTCGCTGCTCCCACAAGGCGGGGGCTAACAGACAGCAATGGACGCAGACACCCGGGACTCCAGGATCAGCTGCCAGAGGGCAGATCCCAGCACTGGTCCCACAGAACGGTGTGTTTGCCAGCTCCCCATCCTGCCCCTACGCTGGGCTGGAGCCGTGTCCTGCGATTGCTGTGCACCACTCAATGAAAGAGCTCGTTGCCTGTGGCTGTGACCCGGCTCCCCACGCCCTGGGGCAGAGTGCAATGCCCACGGAGCAGGCTATGCGCTTGGGAGCTCCCTTAACGGCCCTGTGTCCCTGTGCTCTGTGGAGGAGGCAATATCCAGGTAAAAGCAGTGCCCCAGCTTCACCCCAAGCGCCCCCACCCTCCCACGGGGCGGCATACCCCATCCAGCTCCTGCCTGCCACGCAGCAGAACTGTGCCGGTTCTGCCACCCACGCAGAAGCACGGGGTAGGACGTCCCTCGCACTCGGTGCAGCATTAAGGACACGGGGTTGCTCTCTGGGGGAGGGAGAGCTGAGGTGGGCTCTGGGTCTCTCATTAGAGGGTATGTTTCATTTTACTTACAAAGACAGACCATCGACCATTTCAAGCAACCATGAAAACGGCCGCGAGGCAGAAACGTCGGAGGCCCAGCTTCTTGATCTGCAAGCAAAATAAAACACACGCTATCATGAGAGACCAGAGGGGGCAGCTTTCCACAGTGCTGGGCGGGGGCTGGGCTGCTTCGGCCCCCGTCTGCTTGAACTGGAGCTGCGTGGTGAAAATCCAGAGGTGAGAGACTTAACGGACTTCTCCTTGGAATGGACTGTGGGTCCCTGCCTTGAAAAGGCCTGGCCATGCTTCCTAAATGGCATTGATCATCCAGGGACCTCCAAGCACTTTGCAGGGATCCATAAAGGTAGCCTCGCCACTCCCAGGCGAGGCAGGTATCACAACCCTGCCTTGGGGAAACTGAGGCAGAGAGAGGGGAAGCAACTGGCCCAAGTCACACAGCGACTCAGTGGCTGGGAACAGAACCCTGCACTAGCCATTAGACAAAGTTCCCTGGATGGGGCAGAATTGCCACTGTCCCAAAGCAGGCAATTCAGGGGATAAATACTGACCTCTGAATCCAACATGGCCCTCTAGTGTCTGGCACCCCCCGGCTGCCTCCCTGAGTCCGACACTCTTACTAACCTCCTCAGCTTCTGCCCTGTCCCACGGCTTCCTCCCCCCGTGCTGCACAGAGCTCTCAAGAGTGGTAACCATTAAGTTTGCTGGTTAATAAAGTCCCTGATTTACAGGGTAAGTCTCAGTGCAGACCTGAGTCAGGCGGTTTGCTAATATTCACTAGGACTAAGTGCAAAAGGGACAACTTAAAATTCTTTTGCCTTTTTGTAACCTTTATGCATGCTCAATACATACAGAGCATCACCCTCAGCTGCAGTGTGGCTAGGAAAAACCCGGCATGTTGGAGGAGGGGGACACCCCGCTCCACACAGATGCACACGCACAAACCCAAGTACGAATTAAGAGGCACCACATCTGTTGCAGAGCTCAGATTAAAAGCAAAACCCATCAGATCACAGACGATCAGAATCCGATTTCTAATTAGAGAACAGCTGGTTCCAAACCCAGTGCTTGTACTGACTGGGAATGCAGCTCAGGGTTAAAAAAAAAACCAAACCAACCCGCTACCAAACACACCTTAAAGAGATTGGGTCTTGCCTGGATTCTCTTGAGCGGAGCAGATGGAGCAGCTTTGCCGTTCGAAGGCTAAGCAGTTGTCAAAGGCATTGGTGGGTTGTTGTTTTTTTTGTTCTTAGCATTTATCAGCAAGAAGCTGTTCTATTTGGTCATGAGGCAAGGCTCTCTGCTGGGGTGGGAAGGGGAGTCTCTTACAGATCTAGACCAGCTATTTCACAGAGCAACAGCTATGCCAGTGCAGAGGATACACACACACACACTCACATTCGTACAGTTACTCGTGGGCCATTGGCGCTGTCGTTTGTAGAACGGTTGTTGGCAGTGATGTAGCTGCGTTGGGCCGGAAGAACAGCTCTGGGCAGCTCCAAAGCTGGTCTCTCTCCCCAACACAAGTTGGTCCAGTAAAAGATGTCACCTCTCCCCCCCTTTGTCTCGCTCATTGGCACAAAGGGGCAAACAAAGTATGGCAAGGTGCCTGCAATCTCCTCTCCCTCCACTGGGGGCTCCACTGCTGGTTGGTGCAAGCCCCCAAAGTAGGTGGTGCTGGCCAGGGAGTCATTGGGGAATGCCACCGGAGTGGCTGCTGGAGGATTTCCCCACGGACTGAAAGCTCTCTCCCCTAGCAGAATCCCGGGGGACAGCAAGGAGATGCCACGTGCTCCTCCCTGGGCTAGTGGGTGAATGAATCTGGCCCAATAGTTTTACATTTCCAAAGTGATCAAGGCCCAACCCCACCCGCTAACGTCCCCTCTTGTTCCCGCTGCCCGAGGGGGCTAGAGAAAGTGGCCTCCAGCCCACTAAAGCCAAACGGATCTGTTTGCAAAGGGCTCCTCTGTGTCTGCAGGCACCTCCCGCTGCATCTCCTCCATCTGGGTCTCTGGAGCAGCCCGGAGCAGGCTGTAACATGTCTATGTGACTGGCTCCTGCAGCGTGTCCCAGGACATTGCCAGATACAGCATGCAGCCGGTGCACACCAATCCCCAGCCTTCCCCGCTTACTACATGGAGGAGGGTGGCTGCAGCAACTCAGTGGAGAAGCTCTGCGGAAAAGGGGCAGGGCAGGGCTGCCAGGACTAGTCACGCGAGATGACTGATCCTGTGGAAGCTGTGAATGGAAGGGGGAGGGCGGATAGCGGGGTTGGGGACTCAGGTGTGCTGCAGAGACACTGCACAAAGCCCTTGTTGAGCACCAGAGCCCTCCCAGCTGCGTGGTTTAGCTCAGGAGGAGGAGGCCCCCTGGGAGCGTTCCTGGAGCAATTCCCTGTCTGCGCACTCTGACACCTGCGCTCTGTCGGGGATGTGACAGAACGTGGGGGTGTGTGCAACCGGATTATGTGCCTTCTCCTTTAACACCATCCGTCTAGGGCCCTACCAAATTCACGGCCATGAAAAACGCATCCTGGACCATGAAATCTGGTCCGTCCCCCCCCCAAGAAAATTGGTCTTTTGTGTGCTTTTACCCTATACTACACAGATTTAACAGGGGAGACCAGCGTTTCTCAAATCAGGGGCCCTGACCCAAAAGGGAGTTACAGGGGGGTCACAAGGTTATTTTAGGGGCGTTGGGGTATTACCACACATACTTCAATGCCTTCAGAGCTTGGCAGCCGAAGAGAGGCGACTGTTGGCCAGGCGCCCAGCTCTGAAGGCAGCGCCCCCGCCAACAGCAGCGCAGAAGTAAGCGTGGCAGTACTGCAACCCCCCCTGAAATAACCTTGCGACACCCCCACAACTCCTTTTTGGGTCAGGACCCCTGCAATGACAACACCGTGAAATTTCAGATTTAGATAGCTGAAATCATGAAATTTACGATTTAAAAAATGACTGTGAAATTGACCAAAATGGACGTTGAATTTGGTAGGGTCCTAGCTATAATACTCCCTAGCTCTTCTATAGCCCTTTGCATCAGCAGATTTCAAAGGGCTTTACCAAGAGGGTCAGTATCATTATGGGGAAACTGAGTCACAGAGGGGGAAAGTGACTTGCCCAATGTCGCCCAGTAGACCAGTGGCAAAGCTGAGAACAGCCCCCAGGTCTCCTGACTCGCAGTCCAGTGCTCTATGCACTGTCTCCCATTCCACACTATGGTGCAGCGCCATTCACACATCACACATCAGTGTGTTACACTGTGGCACAGCAAGGTTCCAACACATATCGTCACTGCCTGCCTGGAGATACCGACAGCTCCAGGTGCTCAGACACTACACTGATAAGGGTCATGGAAGAAGTAGCTAGCTAGTCGGAGATGTGTATGGGGATCGGGAGATAGGGAGATAGATGACAGGCCATTGGGGAGCACAGGGTTAAATCTATCCCAGGCCCAGCTCCCCAGGCTGTTCCCAGAACTCCTTGCAAGCAGGAATCCTGTTCAGTTTCTTCTTTCTTCTCAGGACAGTGATGGAACGAGGAGTCCGCCACGAACACCCGGACAGGGAGCAAGCAGTTCCCACTAAAGCCAATGGGAGCTGCAAGTGTGCAGGACCATTCAGGGTTGGCCCCGTTGTTTGTACCATGTAACATTTTCAGTGATGGTCACAGGTTGATCCCAAACCGGCCTGTGATGTCCACCTGGAACAGATCCTGACGGCGCCCTGTCACTGGCAGGACAACTGCTCCTCTTCCATCCTTTCCCATGGGACTGGCTCCGCACAGCCTGCCCCAATCGTGCCAGTCTGTGGCTATGCGCTCTAGGGGGCAGGTTTTCTCCAGATCATTTGCTTGCCATGCTGGCCTGACCTCTAGCTTTCCATCCCCCTCCTGGGTGTAGATTGTCCCAAACCTTCCGAGAGTACAGCTTACCCATGTAACAGGGCGCGCTGGCATGCGAGGGAGTGCCCCTGCGGCATGTGCTCCTGGCACCCCCAGCGCTGTGCTGTGTGACAGCTCCATTCGTTTGAAAAGAGACGAAGGAGGCTGCAAAGTCTTAGAGGAAAGGAGGTGGATGAGATCCAAGACAACCTATCAAGGCACCAGCCGCTCCGTGCCTGGTGATAGGAGAGGAATGAAACGGGCTACAACGCTGTAGAAATTAAACTGGCGTGGGTCTCCTTATCCCACCAGAGAAAGGAGAGAACACATCAATGCTGTAGCCTGCAACTGGCAGCCAGTGATAAGGTAATCCCAGATCCCACCACAATGACTTGATGCACACAGGCCATAGGGGAGCACGGGTTAAACCAGCATCAACAGCTCATTACAGCCCGGATCCTGGCACTGCTAAGTCCAGCAGCCCAGTGCCGCAGGGACTTGGCACCAGATGGGAGTTCCCCTTTGTTCGTGGCTTTCCAGCCTGGGGTTCACTGCCATCCCCCTCTCCTCCCCCCGGTTCTTCCTAGAGCTGCTTGACAGTTTGCATTCGTCATTTTGTTGCTGCTGACAAAAATTTGGCCTTTTTTTCTACCAAAATGTTTGGTGGGAAATTGTTGTGTCTCAGGAAATGTTCAGCTTTTTCAGCAGAATTGAGAACAATGGAGCGCTTGTTGCTTTTTTGCTTTTTGGTTGATAAACTGATTCCCCCCGACCCCCCGAAAAATTACAACAAAAACCCCTCCCCAAATGTTTTGTTTCTTCCTCAGATTTTCATGGAAAATATTCATAATTTCCCAACCGGTTCCAGTTGTTTCTGTATTGGAGAGAGTGTTGTCTCGTCGTTATAGTGGGAGGCGAGGGGCGGGCGCTGGCAGTCAGGACATTGACTCAGTGGGTGACTGTGGACAAATCACCCACCCCCTCTTTGTGCCTCAGTTTCCCCCTCTGTGACACGGGGATAACCACACTTCCCTAACCGCAAGGAGCACTTTGAGCAGGAAGGTGCTGGAAGGGCAGGTGCTTTGTGTCCTTTTTAGAAATGCAAATAAATAAGGAACACAAAGGCCCGTTCCAGGACGAGAGCAGTTACTCTCTCTCCACAGCATGAGGCTAACACAGAGGGGTGTGTCTCAGCTTCTAGAGCCCCGGGGCATAGCAAGGGCGGTGATGGAGGAGAGGTGTTATGCCTGCCTACGGGCGTGTGCTCATCAAGAGCATTGGCTGCGGGGCTGGCCAGGCCCCACCTGCCCAGCCTGCCCCTTTGAGGTGGGCAATGCGCACGGTGGCCCCAGCTGAGCCCTGCGTGGTGCCACGCGGGCGCAAGCCAGGGATGCCTGGCTGGCTTCTGCAGGAGAATGTTGGGGCAGGGATGGGGGGAAGATGCTCCTGCCCTTCCCTTCCCCTCCCCATGGCGTCCTGCCCAGGGGCAGCTGTAACAGGGCCCATATGCTGCCCGGTGGCACAGGGCACAGAGCCCTCTCGGGGAGTACCCTTTCCAGGTGACATCTCCGTCAGCCCGACAGGATCCGGCCCCGAGTCTGCTCACCGCGTCCCAGCCCCTCGCATCACCCCAGCCCCGTCTGCCCCGGCTACTCACTGGTGTTTGGCGTGAAGGAGGGGTGCCGCGTGGCTCCCTGCGTGACGGCTGGCGGCGGAGGAGGCATGTTGGGGGGTGTCGATCTGGACTGAGTCTTCACGTCGGCCGGCGAGTCAGGCATTGTGGCTGCCTTCTTCTTCTCTGCACTACCTGCAAGGGGCAGAGACGCAGAGAGCGAGACACAGGTGAGTGCAGCGGATCGGGGTCGCCGGGCCACATGGCACTAGTTAAACCCAGGCTGCTGATCCTTCCCTCGCCCAGGCGCGGACCTAACGCCCACTGGAGTCAGTGGGCATCTTGCCCTGGTCTGCAATGGCCTTTGGGTCAGGCCCTCACGGGAGGTGGCAGCTGTGCAGACCTCTTTGCATTGCAGCCAATCGAAACACACGTGTTTCTCCTCTCACATGGGCAGTTATTCCTGATTCACATCAGCAAGAGGAGGGCATGGTCCCGTGCCCCGTAATGCACACGGCTATGCCACTGGAAAGGCATCACCTTGGACTGAAACGGGCCCCCACATATGTGCCCATTTCAGGGTCCGTCCGTCCCCGCCCGAGGGCCCTTCTCCCATGGTGAGAACCGACCCATTTGTCCCGGGGAACCTCCACGTTTCCAAAACGCCAAATTGGGAACATTCCTTCCAGCAACAATGCATTTGTCCCAAAACACCGAGAACTTCACAAACGTTCTGGGCTGTGAAACGGCCAACATTCCTTGGTTCAGGACTATGGCACAGGAGAGGAGCTTTATGAGTTCCCACAACCCCAAAAGCTGGCGTTTCGGGGATGGGATGGGAGCACGTTTGCTCCTAACTCTGCCTGGGTCACCCCACCGCTCCTTCCTGAGCAAGGCGAGACTCAGATCACCGAGGGGGCAAGGAGGACGGCTCTCAGGGGCGTCCCTTCCTGTTCATTGCAGCGGGGACCCAGTGGGTGCAGGGCGGGAGGAGACGTCTACCCTCCCTGCCCCAGACGGAAAGTGCAATTTCACCCAATGAGCAGTGAACCCTCGGGCTCCTGGGCAGACGCATTATCACCGGGTCCTATGCGCAGTCATGGAGGGCCATGTCCTACCTATACCCTGGGTCTTGGGGGCTCAGCTTTCTTGTACCTGAGCCCCCGGCCATCCATGAGCTCGGCCTCACAGCAACCGGGCATGGCAGAGGGACGTGTCATTCTCCCCGCAGAGAGATGAAGGGCGGAGAGCTCAGAAGGCTGGGGAGAGACGGGTCCCTGGGGAAGCGATTCCCAAAAGCCAGCGCACTAGGTGGGGAGCCGCCTACGCTAGCCAAGGGAAGATGCCAGCCAGGGCTGGTGCACAGCCCCACCGTGCTCTCAGAGGCAGGCACCGAGGTCCAGGCTGCAGGGAGGTGTCGAGCGCCGAGGACGGATCACGCTCATCACTTTTAGCTCAGTGACGAGCGTACTGATCTGGGAAGTGGGAGACCCCCCGGCTCAAGTGCCTCCTCCCCCAAAGGAGGAGAAGGGATTTGCCGCCTGGCAGGCGAGTGCTCTAACCATTGGGCAGGTCTGCTGTGGAGTTCCCTCCATCACTCCGGTTTGAAGCTGTTGCGTTGGGGATAAATAACGAGACTCTGTGGAGCAAGGAGACCGGCTCCTGGTCTCCCCCGTCCTGGGCGAATGCTCTAACCGCCAGGCGACACAGCCACGCTGGGGCTTGTGCGCACTGGCTCGCAAAGAGTCGTTTGGACAAGAGAGCGGGCAAGCGAGCACACCAGCACGAGCATGATTCTGCTGCCTGATGGTTGGCGCACGTACCAGGATGAGGGAGACGTGGGAGCCAGCCCCTGCTCCAGTGGCTCATTCGTTATTTAGCTGCAGCATAACAGCTTCAAGGGGAGGGGCTGGGGCCCGACATCAGACTGTCCTATACCCCGGGGTCAGGGCACGGACTCCCCGTTCAAATCCTTTCTCCCCGTTAGGTGGAGGGGGGATTTGAACCGGCTACTCTCCCACCTCCCAGCTGAGTACCCTAAGAAGCACTGGGCTAAATGTTCCAAGGGAGGCTGTGGTCCTCCTCCCCCGGCCGCCTTGTGCAAGCTCGCTGATGGGGGCCGAGCTGCGAGGCAGCCTCTGAGCACGCTGAGCGGATCAGGCTCCTCAGGCAGGTTAGGCCACCGAACGCCTCTGTGGGGAGATGGGCGTCCGGACGGCCCCAGTGCGCATGCCCCGAGGCAGAGCCATTGACGCCTCCAGGGTTTCAGCAGGAGTTTCGTGCATCGCGGTGATCCCCAAACTGGGGCTTGTGCCTAACTCCGGCGGAGCGTTCAGCCTGAGGGGACGTGCCCCAGGGACACCGGGGGTCTGGGGTAGACCTGAGAACTGAATCCAGAGCTCCTGAGTCCCCACGACTGTGCCTTAAATCACAAGGCCGCCCTTTCTCACCCAGCCAGCCCTCTGCACACCAACATATTGTACAGAGCTCCTCCCGCCCATACGCACAGCACTGTCGGATACACATGTTTATCCAGCCACACAACACTGGATCACATAGCCATCTACCCACCCCGGAAATCCTGTACCATGCACACGTCTTCCCGCATACGTACTAATGCACAGTCCACACGCACCTCTATTAGCACACGCAATATGCCCTGTACACACGCACCCGACAGATCTAGATATGTGTCACGCATGCACAGAGCATGCTGTCATCTTGGCGCTCGTCCCCGAGAACCCATCTCTGCCATGGCACACACCGTCAGAGCAAGCTCCCTGCTGGTTACCTGCCAGTTTGGAAGGAATGGGAATTCTCCCCGGGTCGCCGGCTGGAATGCCGCGCCGTTTCCCAGGAATTATGTGTGGAGTTTCAGGAATCGCGCTGTCAGGCCGGGATTATTCACAGATAGTAAATTGGGCTTTAGGTGCCGTGCTGCAGGCAGCAGCTCCCATACACCCAGCAACCAGGGCAGTTCCACGGGTGCCTTGAGAGCATTCGTTCCCGCGTCATTGACGTCAAGCACTCAAAAATCCCCAGTCAGGCCCCAAAACATCAGGGGATTTAAAAGACCTAATAAATATGAGGTTCCCTTTCTTTGCCTCGTGGTTTCTGAGCCTTTAGGGGTCACTCAGGACACGTTTTCCGGCTTTTCTCCAAAACCAGGAGAGGGGAAATGTACCTTTTTTTACTAAGAGCCGAGATTGTGGCATCATCCCAGGATGAGCCTAGCTGGGGCTTTAAGAAAACAACATGACTCACGATCGTCACAATAACACTGCAAGAACCGGCCACACTGAAGCCCGACGCCTTCACTGCGATTAAACTCTTCTCCAGATCATTGGGAAAAAAATTTCCTGCCCCTCCCACCTCTCGCTTGTCCAATAAAGCCACAATGACAGAGCTGGTGGAAAGTTTTCCAGCACCACGGGTTTCCATCCTCAGAAAATGCCACGGCCTGGAAATCAAAACGTTGTCAATTTTGATGAAATTTCGTCACAGAAACAAAAAACAAGCGGACCGAAGCATTGGCCCATTTGACGTCTCTCATGCTGAGCAGCACAGCGTTGGTTTTTAACAAAACAGAGCATTGCTGTGGTTAGTTTGAAAATCACTTGGCGTTTTGCAATTTGTTTTGTTGTATTTGATGTTATACTAGAAGTTGTGATAGACAGTTAAAAAAAAAGTTGAAAGTTGATCAGCTCAAAGTGAACTGTCCCTGTTCTAAATATCTAACGCTGAGAAGGGCAGTGGGGGGTCGGGGGTCAGGTGCATTTGACAAATTCCAACCACCAGTGCGCCCCCACCCAGCTGCCTAAAACTAGCTGTGTCTGAAGGTCAGAGATAACCTGTAGCTGGGGAGTGATGACAGAATTCCTTGTCCCCGGGATCCCTGCGAGCTGTTACCAGGGAATATCCTTGTGATGGGGTGTTCATCCCCCTTCCCCCCACAGGAGCCCGTAAAGGGTTAATGACACTGTTGCCAACGTTCACGTGGTAAATAAGCCCCCCGACTTTCACAATAAGCCCAAAATCGAGCTAATCCCATTTCAAAACAAGCCAATCCCTAAGAACCCCAACACTCTGTGACTAGATCCCCCCGGCCTGCAGTCTGGGACTGGGGTGGGCCCGCTGTGCACCCCGACTCTCTCCCCCCCTTGCCCCCGCTTGCCGGGAGCTGATCAAAAAAAAAGAAGCTAAAGTACAAGCCAAAAACTAGCCAACAAGCAACTCACAAGCCAATTAAGCCAAAAACAAGCCCAATGTCTGTGTTTTTTTCGCGGGTTTGGCATGTCTGGTTAATGAGGCTCCGAAGGAGCCAATTAACCTGACAGGCAACACCTGAGGGAGAACAAGGCGGGAGGATGGAGCCCAGCTGGACAGGAGCAAGGGCTGGTATAAAGCCAGCAGGCGGCTTAGAAAGGAAAGAAGGAGAAGCCCAGGGGGAGAGCAGAAGCCCTGGGCTCCTGGCCCTCAAGGAGGGGAGTACCAGCCGGATGGTGGAGAAGGGAGCCTGATAAAGATAGAGTAGGAAGCAGTCCAGGGAAATAGCAGCGAGATTTGAGATGGAGCAGACCCTGGCTGCTGACTGTAGGGTCCCTGAGCTGGACCCCGGAGCAGAGTGGGTCGGGTTCCCCAACCAGCGGTAGAAGGGAAGATTGCCTGGGACAGATCGTCCAGTGAACTCGGATACCCTGGAAAACACACAGTGACCCAGCCGGGGGGGGGGGGGGCAAGCTGTGAAAAGGGATCCCCCTAAGCCAGGAAGAGGGATCATCCCGACGCACTGCAAATCCTGGAGCATGAGACAGAAGGGGGCATCCGAGCAGGTGGCCCTATTCCCCAGACGCAGCCCCAAGGAGTGAACCCCACGACAATCCCCTGTGGAGGGCAGTGGGGCAGGGGGCTAAAGCAATGTATGGCCAGAGCAGGACTGCTTAGCTCTGCACACCGCATCCCTCAAGCTGTCTTTCTCAGCATCTCGCCAGGGCTGCGGTTTTCCTGGGATTCAGCCATGGCCCAGTTCAGAGGAGGCTTTGGAGTGGCATGGGGACCTGGCTGGGACGGGGGGGGGCAGGGAAGAGACGAAGCAAGTAAACAGGACAGCCGCGAAACAAGCTTAAGTGAGAGCACCTGCTACTGAGATCAGCTGCTGCCACGTCCATTTCTCTCTCTCTCTCTCTCTCCGCCGT